TGGCTGCGTCCCAGCAAAACTATTTATGGACCCTGAAATATGAATTTCATGTAATTTCCATATGCCACAAAATATTATTTTCCTGTTGATTTTTTTTTCCAACCGCTTAGAAAATGTAAAACCATTTTTAGCCCATGTGCTGAACAAAAACAGGCTATAATCCAGATTTGGCCTGCAGGCCAGCGTGTGCCAACACCTACCATAGAACTTGTTTAGACCTGCTTGCTCACAGGCTTATTTTGGTGTCTCCCATCATTCTATGAAAAGAGTAAACTAAGTAAGAACACAGCCTTTGGAGATGGCTGGGCCTATATTCTAATTCTGATTCCAGACTCCTTCCCTTCCCTTCCTTCCTTTTCAGTCAGTCACGAGGGTGGCCTGATAATGGCAGGAAGATGCCAGAACTCCTACCGGGGGGTACGTCCTTTTCCTAGGGTTGCCAGAACATGCCAGAACAGAGCACTCAAAACAACAGAAATGCACTGCCTCACGGTTCTGGAGACTAGAAACCCAAGACCAAGGTGTCAGTGGGGCCATGCCCTCTCTGACCGCTCTAGGGGAGAATCCTTGCTTGTTCCTTCTAGCTTCTGGTGTCGGCCCGCAATCCTTGGTGTTTCTTGGCTTATACAGGTACCACTCCCTGTGCGTCTACACATCTTCTTCCCTCTGCACATGTCTCTGTATCCAAATTTCCTTTTTTTTTTTTTTTTATATTTTATTTTATTATTTTTTTTAAATTTTTTTTTTCAACGTTTATTTATTTTTGGGACAGAGAGAGACAGAGCATGAACGGGGGAGGGGCAGAGAGAGAGGGAGACACAGAATCCGAAACAGGCTCCAGGCTCTGAGCCATCAGCCCAGAGCCCGACGCGGGGCTCGAACTCACGGACCGCGAGATCGCGACCTGGCTGAAGTCGGACGCTTAACCGACTGCGCCACCCAGGCGCCCCCAAATTTCCTTTTTATGAGGACACCGGTCATATTGGATTAGGGTCCCCCCTTGTGACCTCATTTCCACTTAGTTATCTCTGTAGAGCCTCCACTTGCAGGTAAAGTCAGGCTCTATAGTACGATAACGGGGGTTGGTTAGGACATCAACATATCTTTTCTGCGGAAAGGGGCGCAATTTGGGTATCAGAGCAGGGCAGCAGCCCAGCAGGGAAGGGGGCTGCGTGCAGGTGGGCGAGCAACTGAGTAAACATACTGAGGACAACAACAGTGTGGTTTCTCACAGCCAAGAGGCGAGTTGCAGGCTGGAATGGACTCTGTGTCATTCCATTGGAAAGGAGTGTCGATGTGAACTCGGGATTTTCAAAACCTGATAGATCTACACATAACGAGAGGTGTGAAAACGCAGTTGATGCGTGCATACCTCCATTCATCCACTTCCTGGCTCTGTCCACCCTGAGGGCCTGAGCAGCAGTGAGCCCTAACTATCATTCTCCACTAACTAAACACAACACAACACAACACAACACAACACCAAAGAAAGAAACAACTAGAATTCCTTGGAGAAATGCCTGAGCCTAAGGCGGGGGCAGGAGAAGTCCAAGATAAGACAGGAGTATCTTATGGTGCCCAAACATCAGAAAGGCCTTGAGGAGTAAGGGAGATATGTCCAAAGGCCACAGGAGCCACTTTGAAGGAGCTCCTACCGTCCAAACCTGGGCTGATCAAAACATCCCAACAAATAATCATACTGATTGATGGTATCCATTTAATAAAGCAGGAAGCCATGGGTTTACATTGATTAAATAAGGGGCTAAAAACATGGGAAGAAAATAAAGTTCTTTCTTTAGTTGGTTAGTGCCAACAAACAAACGTAGAAGGAAGGATAACCTTGCAATTTAGTTAAGGAGCATCACTCCTTGCTAAATCAGTGGGTGGAAGGAGGGGGATGATGGGATTTCACACAGTCTCCAAAAACCTCTCCACAAAATACTCATTGGTTGGGGCGCCTGGGTGGCGCAGTCGGTTAAGCGTCCGACTTCAGCCAGGTCACGATCTCGCGGTCCGTGAGTTCGAGCCCCGCGTCGGGCTCTGGGCTGATGGCTCGGAGCCTGGAGCCTGTTTCCGATTCTGTGTCTCCCTCTCTCTCTGCCCCTCCCCCGTTCATGCTCTGTCTCTCTCTGTCCCAAAAATAAATAAACGTTGAAAAAAAAATTAAAAAAAAAAAATACTCATTGGTTAATTCAAAAGGTCGGGGGAGTGTGGGGGGTGGGGGCAGGAGGGACTAACTTGACAATGGAGAAGTTTGGCCAACTCCATCTTCATCACGTGAGCAGAGTGAACCTCCCCAGCAACTGGACAGAGCAAAGTTGAAAGCTGACAGGATGCCCTGAGAAGAATCCAGCATCGCTTCTCTGTGATCCTGACCAAAAATTATAACCTGGGTCGAATCCTGAGGAAAACCCCAGACCGGCCTAAACAGGGAACGTTCTGCAAAATGCCTGACCTGCAGACTTCACAGATGGCAGAGGGAGGAGGGGCAGCCGTTCCAGGTTGAAGGAGCCTGTAGAGGCGTGACGTCTACACACGGAGACGTGTTGGATCCTGGGTTGGATCCTTTGTTATAAAAGGCATGACTGAGACACTGAGGCTTGAATGGCGTCGTGACGTCATTCAAAGGGAGTATTGAGGTGTTTTGTGCCGCCCTTAACGCTTTCTGTATTTTGAAATTGCTTTGGAATTAAAGAAAAAAAGAAAAAAAAAAAAAAACTTACCGTAATAACTACAGTGTTACCATAGATGAGCTATGTTCCCTTTGACACGTTATTTCACTTGTTATGCCTCAGTTTCTTCATCTGTAACATGAAAATAATAATGGCTACTTAAAGGATATTGTCAGGAATAGAAGAATCGTGTGAGTGAAGCACAGGGTCCACTGTCTGGCCACCTCGGGAGAAGGCTCAGCCCAGGACCATTGCCAGTGTTGTGTTCTTGTCAGCATTGTCCCGAATTTCATAGACTCTAAGATGTCACCAATGGTAAGATGCGTTCTCATTTTATAAGCCACCGGGAAATTAACAACATGCCCACTTAAGCTGACAAAGTGATTCTTCTCATGTACAGTGTTTAATATTTATTGGAAGAGCTGTTTAGGTTTTTTTTGTTGTTGTTGCAGAATAATTAGCACACAGTGTTAATATTAGTTTTAGGCATACAGTGTAATGATTCTGCAATTCTAGCTATTTCAACAGAAGTACCATATGATCAGCAATTCTGCTTCCGGATACGTTCTTTTTTTTTATGTTTTTATTTATTTTTGAGAGAGAGAGACAGACAGAGCGCGAGGTAGGGAGGGGCAGAGAGAGAGGAAGACACAGAATCCGAAGCAGGCTCCAGGCTCTGAGCCATCAGCGCAGAGCCCGACGCGGAGCTCGGACTCATGAACTGCGAGATCACGACCAGGGCCGAAGTCGGATGCTCAACTGACTGAGCCACCCAGGCGCCCCTACTTCTGGGTACGTTCTTAAAAAAATCGAAAGCAGGGACTCGGGCAAATGTTGGTACACTCCTGTTCACAGCAGCTTTGCTCACGACAGCTGAACAGCCCAAATGGCCATCAACAGATGAATGGATAAACAAAATGGGGTTTCACCATACCGTGGAATATTATTCAGCCTTTAAAAGAAGGACATGCAACAATCTGACTCATGCAACAATGTAAATGAACCATGAAGACATGACAGTGAGTGAAATAAGCCAGTCACCACAGGACGCATATCGTAGGATTGCACTTATACGAAGCGCCCAGAGATTCATAAAGATTCATATGATTCAGATTCGTAAGGGCAAGAAGTAGAATGATGGTCACCAGGGGCTAGGAGGAGGGAGAGTGGGGAGTTACTGTTTCACGGGTACTGACTCCTGGTTTGAGATGACAAATGAGTTCCGGAGATGGACGGCGGTCAAAGGGAATTCACCCAATTCGCCCAACAGTGTGAAATGTACTGAACGGCCGCTGAACCGTGCACTTCAAAGTGGTCAAGACGGCAGATTGGATGTTATGTATCTTTTACCACAGTTGTAAAAACAAACAGGCACTGTCAGTTTACAGTGAGAGAAACCAGAGTAACAGTTACCTTTAAGGGGTTGTGATGGGGAAAGGGCACAGAGGGACCTCCTGGGGTCTCGGAACGTTCTATAGTTGATCTAGCGGTTATACGACTGTGTAGGTTTATAAATATGCATTGCGCTGGACACTTAGGACTGGTGCACTTTAGAACATGGAACTTGAAGATATTTCAAATGCACAAACAGTAGAGAATTTTTTTTTTATTGTATGAGCCAACCTTCCTAAGTCCCGGGCAGAGAGGAGCTAGGCAGTTGTCCAAGGCGGAAAGCAAGCTTCCCGGGAGCCAGGTGGGATCCGTGCATTACCTACCCCTCTCGTCAGAGCCACGCTGAGTGACCACACACCCCATCTCGCCTTGTGGGATCTCCCACAATCCTGCGTGTGGCCCGCATTTTTCTCCCCATCACCCGGCACGTGCCCCCTGGCACAGAGGAGGGTCTTGGCGACTGTATGTGGAGTAAACGAACGAATAACTCTGAGCACAGCAGGGTCGGGGCAAAGGCACAGTGAGTGAGGCACATCCCCGGGTGCAAAATTTAAGGGGCACCCAAACAGTAGCTAAGATAAATAACATTTTAGCGCGATGTTGTAAAAAACTAGCGCAAAAAACCCGCAACAAAGTGTGAAATTTTAGTTTATTTCCTTTAGTTTAGAGGCGCCCCTCAAGAACATGATCGAGCTTTTCTTGTTCTATTTCCTTATCTCATTCTTGTTGCCTGGTTTTGTACCATTGGCAACTTTGTTTTAAAAGCTGCAGGCTGTTGGGATGCCTGGGCAGCTCAGCTGGTTGAGCGTCCGACTTTGGCTCAGCTCACGATCTGCGGTTCGAGAGTGCGAGCCCCACCTCGGGCTCTGGGCTGACAGTTTGGAGCCTGGAGCCTGTGTCTCCCTCTCCCTCTCTCTCTCTCTCTGCCCCTCCCGCACTTGTGCTCTCTCTCTCTCTTTCAAAAAGAAATAAACATTAAAAAAAATTAAAAGGTGCAGCCTGTTAAATTCTGATGTCCTGTATTCAGGCCACCTCCCTGCTGCGTCCCGGTCACACACTCCCTCACCCTGATCGGCGCTTGTCACACAGGGAGCCCAGAGGCTGGGGGCGCTTGGCCCACCGGAGGAAGGGGTTTGACCGGCTTGCTGTTAGGAGCTCAGCCGAGCTGGGACAGGGAACGCAGAAGGCAGGTACCAGAGTAGCCAGTTATAGCCACCGGCCGCAGGGAAAGGGTTGAGCCTTAACCACTTATGGCTGGAAGAAGCCGGACGTTACACCTGCAGACAGCGCCTTTTCCATTCCCCGCATAGGGTGGAATGGAGGGTGCGTGGATCCTCTCACCGTCGAGGAGGCCGGAACAAAAAAAAAAAGGCTCTGGCCATTTTCCCAAGCCGGGGGTTGGGGGGGGGGGGGGGGCCCGGGGGGGAAGAAAGGGGGGGCGGGGCCGGGGGGGGGGGGGGGGGGGGGGGGGAACGCGTCCCCCGGGTGTGCCCCTTTGAAGAGGGCCTCTCCCAGAGGCCTCCGATGCAGATATGTGAAAGATCGCGGCCCGCCAGGGGCCCTGAGTCCTTGACCGCAGCTCCCCCAGAGGCCCCCTCAGAGAAGACACAGTGTACCCCGAGTCTGGTGTGCGAGGGCGGCTTTCCCCACAGGCCTGCCAGGGAAGCCTTCCTAACTGCCCACGGCTGGGCCTACAAGTCGCATACAGCTCGTCAACCAGGAGCCCGGGTCCTCACCACAGGCGTCCTGCCCTCTCTCTCGGCCCCGCTCCCCCTGCTCTCTCTCTCTCTCAAATAAACAAACTAAAACCTCATACTTTGTTGCAGGTTTTTTGCGCCAGTTTTTCACAACGTCGCACAAAAATGTTATTCATCGTAGCTACTGAGTGTTTGGGTGCCCCTTAAATTTTGCGCCCGGGGACGTGCCTCGCTCACTGTGCCTTTGCCCCAACCCTGCTGTGCTCAGGGTTGTTCGTCCGTTTAGCCCACGTACAGTCGCCAAGACCCTCCTCTGTGCCCGGGGGCACCTGCCGGGCGACGGGGAGAGAAATGCAGGCCACACGCAGGATTCTGGGAGGGGGGCAGGGAAAGACCGCCCTGCGCACTGAGGACTGCGGGACAGGATGGGGAGGTGCAAAACAGGTCACCAGGGGAATCAAAACAATACGGGCTAACCCTTGGGGGTTGTCTGCAGCATATCATCTGGTTCTCTCCACAGCCCTTGAGTGTCTGTAGATGCTCACGGGGGAGTAACGGGGTTGCTGGGGGGGCGGTCCCAAGACCCGGCAAGGTCACACGCCAGTAAGTCGCATAAAGTTACACTCTGAGCAGGAGTACAGGTGGGAGCCGGCCCAGCTCCGTCTGGCTCTGGGCTGTCCCCTGCTCTGGTTATTGCAGCCCCCGCCCCCCCCCCCCCCCCGCCTCCCCCGGGGGCGGCACAGAAGGCGGCACGAAGCCACTGGTCGCCGAGCTGACCGAGGATGCGCGGGTGTGTCCAGGGGGGGCGCTGCTGGCACAGGGAACAGCATTGACAAAGTCAGCGAGGCCCAGAGGAAAAAAAAAAATCGGTATCTCGGTGTCCACAGTTCTAAGAAGCTGGGCAATGTTGTGAGGAGTCACTTGTACAGACACAGGCCTGGCCGGTGTCGCTTCCTCTTTCTGCTTCTGTTTCCTAACAACGACGTCAGCATAAATAGGAAGCGTGACAGGCTCCCTGTCGCCTGGACACTCCAGCAGAAGGCTTTGCTGTCCCACCACGAAGAGGTACGGCCTGGCTTTCAGGGGCGGGCTGGGGAGCGGTGGGGGAGGCCCAGGCTGTGGATGGAGAACGGGGAGAGGTGGGGGGTGTGGGGTGGGCGGGCGCGCTCGGGGACTCGGGGGGCGGGGGTCAGGGCTTGGTCTCTTGGGAAGACTGGCCAGGCTCCTCGGGCAGCCGGGGGCTGAGCAGACAGCCAGTGGTGCCTGTTTCCTTGAGTGTTGTGTGAACAGGGCGAGGGCCTCCCGTTCGGGATCCAGCTGTCCTGGAGGGAGGACTCCCGGGGAGGCGGCGGTCACACACCTACCTGCGTGGCGTCCCTCTTGGCTTTGCCGCTAAAGTGTCGCCGAGGTGTTAGTGGCAGTGAACCGGTTTCTGCCTCCTTGTCTCTGGAGCGGGAAGAACACATCAATCGTCCCTGACATCCTGGTTTCATATATATTTTTTTTAATGTTTATTTATTTTTGAGAGAGAGTGAGTGAGCAGGGGAGGGGCCGAGAGAGAGGGAGACCCGGAATCCGAAGCAGGCTCCAGGCTCCGGGCTGTAGGCCCAGAGCCCGACGCGGGGCTCGAACCCTCCAACTGCGAGATCGTGACCTGAGCTGAAGCCGGACGCTTAGCCAGCGGAGCCACCCAGGCGCCCCTCTGCCGTCCTGGTTTAGAAAAGGAGACCTGGAGAGTGAGGGTGTGTGTGCGTTTCCATGGGTGTCCCTGGGGATGCAGGGGTGCAGAGAGACTGGGAGGCGAGGGGGGAACCTGGAGCTTTGTCATGCTCCGGCCCAGAGCTTGGTGTGGCTTTGGAAGCTCCCTTTGGAAGACGAGAAAGGGCTCGGTCTCTCTCGAAAAATGTGGTTTTACTCTCAACACCCCACCCTGAGCCTCCGTTGCTCAGTTGGGTTCAGGCACAGGGGTGGGTGTTCCGCACCCAAGTCTGTGAGCTGGTGGGGGATGGGGGGGGTTGCGTCTAAGGGGGTATCTACCTCAGGATGTGTGCAGGTGCGTGCACTTGCCCTGTGGATGGGAGCGCGAGGGCTTCCAAGGTCCCCACTGGGGTGGCAGCCTGTGTGGCCCCACCAGACGGGTCCCGGCGACAAGTCGCAAGTGTACAGTTTTGAGTCTTAGGGATCCTGCTACAATTTTGTGTCACCGGGTCCTGATTTTCTCTACCCCTCGCCTTTCGTGCTTCCTAATAGTTTTATCACGAGTGAAACCTTTCCCGTTAGCTCTCGGCCCCTCCGTTTTTTCATTCACCAGTTTCACTCATGTCGTGTGATACGCACCAAACACTGCAGAATAGTCCCTCAGTTGTTGAATGAGCGTGTTTCGTACTAAGCGAATACGTGGCTATCTGCTTTATCAGCCGTTAGAATGATCCGGAATTGTGTAGCGTAAGAGACAAAGCACCAGCTATCCCTATCTCCCGGCCTCACATCCTACTCTATACTATATGTGTCCTTCCAAAACATTTTCTAAGCGCGATGCAAGTATATAGCTTTCCTTTGTACATAAACAAGAGTATAAGCAGACATATTGTTCGGGGCACCCGCATGGCTCAGTCGGTGAAGCATCCCACTTTGGCTCAGGTCGTGATCTCGCGGTCTGTGGGTTCGAGCCCCGCGTCAGGCTCCGTGCTGACAGCTCGGAGCCTGGAGCCTGCTTCGGATTCTGGGTCTCCCTCTCTCTCTGCCCCTCCCACCTCGTGCTCTGTCTCTCTCAAAAATAAACATTTAAAAATTAAATATATATATATATACATATATATGTATATATATATATACACATATTGTTCTATGACTTATATTTTCACCTAATATTACATTTGGGACATTCCACAATAACACATATCGATTTAAGTCGTTTTATTAGCCCTACAAAATAAGGCAGCATGTATTAGTAGGGGCCACACCACAAGTTACCCAATCCCATACTGATAGACATTTCGTTGTTTTTTGTTGGGGTTTTTCTTCCCCCCATTTTTTCCACACCCGTGGAGGTGTTTCTACGGCCCAGATGCCTAGAAGAATTACTGAGTAGGAGATTGTGCATCCAAAAATGTCATAAATATTGTCAGATCATCCTCAAAGCAGCTGAATTAACATACACCCCCACAGTGGTGTATAAAAGGCTCATTTCTCTTTAGGAAAACGATCAGTCTTTAGACTGTATCCGGGGCGCCAGGGTGGCTCAGTCGGTTGAGCACCAACTTCAGCTCAGGTCACGATCTCATGGGGTTGTGAGTTGGAGCCCCGCATCAGGCTCTGTGCTGATGGCTCAGAGCCTGGGGCCTGCTTTGGATTCTGTGTCTCCCTCTCTCTCTGCCCCACCCCCCTGCTCATGGTCTGTCTCTCTCTGTCTCAAAAATAAATTAAAAAAAAAAAAAAAACATTACAAACATTTAGAAACTGTGTGCAATGGATGGAGGAAAATCATCTGATTCTTGCTTAGAGTTTTCCTTTCCCTGATTATGGGTGAAGTTACTCCTCTTCCATATGTCCATTGGCTACCTGGGCTCCTTTTATGATACGTATAGGAATGTTTTGTCCATATCCCGGGTTTTTTGTCTTTTACATATTTACTGTAGGAGTAGCTCATTTATTAAGTACACTAACAATTTATGTGCATAACGTTTAAATTATGTTTCCAGATCATCACTTGTCCTTTTTCTTTACCATGTGGAAGATACTTTCATACAAAAGCATGTTAATTGCCTTCCAAGTTCAGTTTGGGTTTGGTGTCTTGTTAACCCCTAAGGTTAAACAAGTACCTGTAATGCCTTTTATCATTTTAGTTTTGACTTCTAGAACTTTAATCCACCCAGAATTTGGAGGGGTAGGCAATATGTAAAATAATTATCTAGCTTTAAAAAATTATCAGCTAATTGTCTCAACCTCATAATTATGAGCATGTGGCCCATCCTTTCCTCTGTGATTAGAAATGCCGCGATTTCTTCCCAAAGTCCTATTTGGTTGTTTTCCTTACTGTTTTCGAGTCCATCTGTCCGCGATCATACTCCTCATCATTTCTCTGGCTAATAGAACCCGTCTCTCACGTTCGGCTTGTTATAATCTAGAACCGGTCTGTCAAGCCTGTTAAAACCCCTTTTGGAGTTTTGACTGAGATTGCGTTGAATTTAGAGATTATTTGGGGGAGATGGCAGTAGTGGGTGGCCTTCCCCTGCTTGTGCCCTTGACGG